TATCATTTAAGTTAAGACTCAATTGATTAGGCACTTAATTATCAATTAAGTATGATGGATTTGAATTTGACTCATAATTATAAAAATATAAATTGATTTGTATTTTGAAGTAGATGAAGTTTGTGATAATAAGAAGAAATGAGAGTTATCAAAGTCTCAACATTAGGCAAAGGAGAAATCTTCAATAACAAATCAAGAAAAAATTGTAGAGCTTCATCAAAATTTTTAATTTTTTTCATTAAATCATAAATTATTGAATTATGAGAAATAATATTCTTTTTACCTCCTCGCAAGAACAATAACGACTAATAAAGAAATCTAAAATTCATTTGGTTTTATGAACTAAATAATCAATTGAATTCAAATTATAGCTCATAAAGATATAGGTCAACACAACAAATAAAATTATATTTGCAGTAATATATATAAATCAAAGCCGTGAAACATGCGAGAGAAAGGGTCAAGGCACGTTTACCTTCCTAGTTTGAATGACTCCCGCAATCTCAATAGTCAGTGTCCACCTTGTGTACGACGATCACGTCCCATGAGGCCTCCATTTGCTTTGACCCCGAGAGGGAAGCAGAAAGCTTACCGAAATGCTGAAGTGCAATCACCGAAATGCAGGATAATTGGAAATTTAAGATGCCGTGAAGAGGAACCGTTATAGAAGTTGAATAGGCCAAAATAATTGGATAAGCCACCAGAGAAGAAGACTGAAGGTCAAGCCGAAGAGTTAAGATCGAGCAAATGGTGAATAATTGGTAACCGAGGCTTAAACGGGCATTAATTTGTGTAAATAAAATTTGAACGTATAAACGGGAATTAATTGGTCCGTATAAACGGGAATTAATTGGTTGGCATTAGCATTAATTGGTAATTGCAGATGCTATCGGAGAAGAAGGCCAAAGGCCGAAGGCCAAGCAGAAATGGGGCGAAATAATAGGTAATCGAGGAGTTCATTGTTTTGTTTAAAAATAATTGAGCATTAATTGGTCAGTATTAGAATTAATTGGTTTAAATCCTAATCTAAAAAAAAGTAAGATTCATTATTGTTGCGGGCTAGAATATACGCGGCGATAGAGTTTTAATTCTACGTCTTAGCGTTGTACGGATAGTTAGCTCACACACATAGAACACATGATTTTTTACGTGGAAAACCCTTAAAGAGGGGAAAAACCACGGGGCCTAGCCCAGTTGAAAATGATTCAACTAGAATTTGAGTCGGTTACAAAAGGCTGAATCGCCTCCAAGGGCGATCGGATTACAACTAACAACTGTTCTATAGGAGTTTGGTGTTAGACCCGGCGTCACCTGGAAGTTCGGGTGTTAGTTGGTAGTTTGGTCTTGAACAGAACTTCGGGCCTTGAGCAGAACGTTGGGCCTGAACGTCGGGCCTAAACGTCGGGACTTGAGCAGAACGTCGGGCCTTGAGCAGAACGTCGGGCCTTCAGCAGAACGTCGGGACTTGAGCAGGACGTCGGGCCTTGAGCAGAACGTCGGGCCTTCAGCAGAACGTAGGGACTTGAGCAGGACGTCGGGCCTTGAGCAGAACGTCGGGCCTTCAGCAGAACGTCGGGACTTGAGCGGAACGTCGGGCCTTGAGCAGAACGTCGGGCCTTGAGCGGAACGTCGGGCCTTGAGCAGAACGTTGGACCTTCAGCAGAACATCGGGCATTGAGCAGAAACGTCGGGCCTTCAGCAGAACGTCGGGACTTGAGCAGAATGTCAGGCTTAAACGTCGGGCCTTGAGGTGGTGGTCCGGCGAGGCTCCGGCGGTGCTCTGGCGAGGCTCCTGCTGTGGCCCGGCGAAATTCCGGCGGTGGTCAAGGAGGAGCTTCTTCCTTCTCTTCCTTCTTTTCTCCTCTTCTCTTCTTGCTTGGATCCCCCTTTTGTGAACAATGAGGGCTCTATTTATAGATTTTCTGGAGTGGCATAGCTCGTAAATAGGCGTGAGATCAGGGGCGAATAGGGAGTGGTTGAATGGACGACCGATATCAAATCCTACGATCGTGCACCGTTCGTTGGACATTTGAAGGTCTTAGAGATGTTGGAATTCGGCGATCTTGGGCTCGTTGGATTCGTCTCGTCAAGCCGTTCGATTCGAGTATAAGCTCATTAAAAATCGGAGTTCAAATGCTCTTGAATTTAATTTTTGAAGTTTCCAACTAGCTTTTGACTCGAGATTCGTGCCTGATCAAGCTAATTTTTTGACGATGCATCAATTAAAATAGTTGTATTACGTTAAATGAAACTCATGACATAAATGAAATAATAAATGTTTTGCAAGAAGTGAAAAATAAAAGAATTTGAAGAGTCATAAATGAACGTCGTTGTAGATAAATTTAAAATTTATAAATGAACAATCAGGATTTGCTATGAGTGAATTCCCAAGCAACACTTATATAGTAGTATAGATATTTTTGTCACAATGTTTTGAGTAGCTCAATGAGAATTAGAACAATTAGGAGTCTTATTAACCCATAATAAATGTTTGAGTTTGAAACAGTTGATAAATGAGAAGTCTTTTCTGTTTGTTGTAATTATGAAGGCCTGAGAAGTGCTATTTTTTTAAATCTGAAAATTTATGAAATACATGGTTTGTATGTAAGAAGAAACTGCCTCAATTAAAGATTTTGTTTGGGACAACTTTCTTATAACTTTGTGTAGCTGTATTTTAGTATAAAAATTTCTTAATAGTAAAAAATTAATGATAAAAAATTATCCTAAATGAAGCTAATCTAATACTTCATTTGGGACAATTTTTTGTTACTTTCTAAAACGGATTTCTAGTACAAAATTTTTTAATTCACAAAATTTTGTACTAAAAAGTTGTCCCGAAGGTTCATTTGACATGACTTTTTTACTAACATTTTTGTTAAAAAAAATCTTTTTAGAAAACTGAAAGAAAGTCGTCTCAAACGAAGCCTTGTTTGGGATGGCTTTCTTATTGCTTCTTAAAATAATTTTTTAGTATAAAAATTAAAATTTTTTAACTAAAAAATTACTTTAAGAAGCAATGAAATATTTGTCCCAATCAAAACCTAAGTGTAATTTATAGACTATAGTGCTTGAGCAGCCTTAATGCTTTCTAAAAATTAGATGTTGCTATTGTTAATAAGTTTTCTAAATTTAATGCCTTTTTTTGGAAACATTTTGGGCCATTTAAGGCAAACTCACACACACAACGCATACACAAAGACTCGAACCCAAGACATCTTAGTTGGAAGCCTAAGCTCTCAACCAATAGGCTAAGGTCAGCTGTGTGAATCTAATGCCTTAACTTATCACATTTTTTGCTTTGTACGGCACAACTTTTTGTCAGTTTTGTTGCTATCAACAAATTTGTGTTAGAAAACTGCTGCAAAAAAATAGTTAAAAAATATATCCCAAATGAAACATTTGTTGCCTGCTTATTATTATTTTTTTAGCCTTGAACATCATATCAGTTAAAAAAAATATCTGAGAGCTATAATGGAGGGGGGGAGAGAGAGAGAGATGCTTAAATATCAGTGAAACAAAGCAGCTTTGTATGACCATTACATCACTAATGTGGCCATCATCCAAAGCACACACCTTAATACTACATCCCTACATTACTTTATCAATCAAATATCTTTCAGATGTACAGTTTTTTTTCCTTTTTTGAGTTTAGGGTTTGGCTTAGGAAAAAGAAATCAAATTCCAATAATTTAACAATTGGAATTGGAATAATAGAAAATCTAAACTTTCAAAATCTCTTTTTTTAATTTAATAATATGTTAATACAAGAGTGATTATATATAAGTAATAGAGTAGAGTATTATATGAATATGTTACAAAATAATGAGTGCTTAATATAAGGATTTTTTACAATAATAATGATTATAAAAGTCTACCATAAATATTAGACATATTCTAATATTGATATGATAATAAATAATTAAAATTAATTCTAATTTAAAAGAGGTACATGCTCTTAGTTTTTTTTGCGTTGAGAGATGTTCTCATGGTATCTAGAGGGAGGGTCTTGATTGGTTCCATTAGGGGTGCAAACGGGTCGAGTTTATCTTGAGTCATGCATAACTTAAGCTTGGCTCATCGTAATGGCTGTGAACTCGCGGGTAGCTCATGAGGCGTAAGGTCGGTTCCAAACCCGCTTTCGCGTCCATAGTTGCACTCAATCGTGTCGTCCTTCCGTGCTTGCCCCCACACAACTGCTCCCACTCCAGTGTTGTCGCTCCCGTGCTGCCACTTTTGCTCCCTTACCCGCGCTTCTGATTCTTCCTTCCGCGCCCATATGCATATGCGTTCGAGCCACTCAATAAGCAATAAAGCTTCCTCTTGTTCGAATTAGAGCTTGATTGATAGTCCCACAAGCTTGAAAACTTTCCCGAGCTTGAGCTCAAAACTCGATAAGTTCGACTCGTGAGCTCGTTAACGAGGAGTCGACTTGACTGGAGACAGTGTTAAGCGAACTAGAGAGTGTCACAACGCTTCAAGGCAAACAGGAGCTTTCTTTCTCATTTTTCTTAAGAGTGGCATCCATTAGTGTTATTGGATTAACTTCTCTTTTGTTTTGAGTGAGAGAACGATGTAAAAAAGAAAAGAAGCATGGAGAGATAGAGAGAGAATAAAGAGACATCTATACCTATTTCTCCCAATTTTCATAGTGGATTTCCAGATGTGTGGTGTTTGACTATGTGATTTTTTTCCATATTACAAAATTTTCCTTCTTCACGTTGTTTACTTCCATCTCCAACATGTCATAACTCCAATAATATTCTTGCTCACTATTCTTTTGCCGCTAATAGTTACTATCAGAGGAATAATTAAGGTCAGACACTACTAAATACATGAGATTTTCACAGTACTTATTAACGACCGTTAGTGAATGAGTGCTATATTGACAGCGATTTTCCCTGTTGATAGAAACAAACATATTTCCCCTCTTTGTGTCCTAATCGACCCATTTTTGGCTCATTTGTTTGTGATTCCTTCTTCCCATTTGCTACCTGCATTAGCTACTATTCGCTCATCTGGACATCGAATCCACCACCGCCGTTGAAATCGCCGACGAATCCGCCGTCGATGAATCTGCTGGCGCCACTGAATCCCCGGCCACTGTCGAATCTGTCGTCGTAAACCTTTCTGGGGTGTTTGGTATCAGATTGGATTCAATTTTAGTAGGATTTACTAAATCCTGTAAATTCGGATTTAGTAAATCCTAGGCTCATAAATCCTAAATTGTGTTTGATATGACAACTTCTAAATCCTGTTAAATTCAGAGGAGTTGTTTTACAACAGATTACAGGATTTAAAACAGTTAGAGATTTAAAATAGTTTAATAATGTATATTTTAAATTATATTAATTAAGATAATTATACTAATTTTAATCACTAATTATATTAATAATTATTTAATTAACTTAAATTAGATAATTAATTTATACACTAATTATACTTTAATTAATTTACTTATTTATTAATATTTTCAATTATATTAATTAAGATAATTATACTAATTTTAATCACTAATTATATTAATAATTATTTAATTAACTTAAATTAGATAATTAATTTATACACTAATTATACTTTAATTAATTTACTTATTTATTAATATTTTCAATTATATTAATTAAGATAATTATACTAATTTTTTATTACTAATTATATTACTAACTATTTAATTAAGTTAAATTAGATGATTAATTTATGCACTAATTATAATATTAATTATTTAATTAATTTACTTAATTATTAATATTTTAAATTATATTAATTATGCTAATCAATATAGCTTAGATATGTGTAGGGCTCACTGTGGAGGTGCTTTCTCCCTTTCGCGCACTTCATCGGCCAAATCTCATAAATCCGCTAAACTACAGGATTTAATAAATCCGCTAAACTACAGGATTTAATAAATCCG